GTGACAAAGACATGGAGGCAGAGGATGTCCTTTCGATGGGGAATGCTCAGGATCATGTCCATATACGGGCGAACCCACTCGAGTGACTCATACTCGCGGATGATCCAGACGAGAGTGACGCGACGTGTGGCCACGGTGCCCGCGTTGTAGCCCTCGAGTAGGTGTCGGATGTACGAGAGTTGGTGAGTGATGCCCGTGGAGCCGGCAAAGAGAACGGCATGGCCGTATGAGTCGAGGCTGTGGTGTCCAGCGTAGGGGCCCTCGAAGGCAGCCTTGAGCCGGATGCTATGACCGGCCTGGCTCGCCCTTAAGAAGAGCTTGCGGGTCATGCCCGTCTGTGCGCCGACGATGAATGACACGGCCGTCGATACATTGGCCTGGTCCAAGGAGGCGAGAGGTTCCTTCTCTGAGGTGGGCAGAGGTGTGCTGGAGAGGTGGTTGACCCAGGCAATGGAGAATGGGTGGCTCTCCCAGGAGTTGACACCCCAGAACCGTAAGTACGCGTGCGTGCCAGGCTTGATGTCCATGTACTTTGGGAGTGTCAGCGTCACTCGTGTGACTTCTCCCGACATGGGCTCGCATATAGCATACGTAAAGCCTCTTCCGGACCAGTTTGCGTGAGCAAGGCGTATCACGCGGGCAAGGCGGTCAGCGAACCAGAGGGCCATGATGGCCATGATCCAGGATAGCTCAGGAAGACCTCCCGGGATACTGGCAGATGCGCAATGAGCCCAGGTGCACACAAACGCAATGGTTGCCAGGATGATGTGGGTGTTGAGGAAGGTCTCGTAGAAAGCGTAGCGGAGGGATGACAGGGACTGAATGAGCATCATAACCACAGCAACTGTGCCCAGTGTGCCGGACCCGATGAAAAGGCCGCCCGTAATCGCCCGTCTGACATACTCCCAACCGTTATCTGCGACAGCTGCAATCGCCCAGGCGATGCTGTGGATGACCACCTCGAGCACCACAATGCGGCCAATCCATCGGTGCAACAGGTTACACGTATCAAAACTGATCTTGAGGACAGGGATGAGCGGGTTGTTCCGCCCGGCCAGGATGATGAGCGGCACCATGTTGACGAGAGCCAAGTTGCCCGAGCGGCCCCGCAGCTCGGCGCAGAAGGCGTAGCGGTTGTCATTGGCCCAGTTTAGCACGAACATGTATGTGAAGTTACTGCCCAGGTAGCCGACGAGGAGGGCCATGTGCAACCGCAAGGGCAGGGTGCCGACGCTGATAGCGGAGGAGAGGCGAAATCCCCTACTGTGTCGCTTCTTCCACAGCGGAGCGTAAATGACGTGCTTCTTCGCAGCGGGCATCCAACTCCACTGCGATATTCTCCAGTATCTTTGCTTCTCTCGGGCGACGGACATGGCCGAGATCAGCCGCAGCTGTGCCCAGACAATCTCCAGCATACGGATGGTCAAGACGACAAGGGCGATGATGCCCAGGGTCCACCACAGAGCTTCCTTGAACAGCATATTCTGGGCCTGGTTGATACCGTTCATGCCTGAGTAATAGGGTGTAATGGTTGAAGTCGATTCTACCTCTGGGTGAGACCGATCTGGTCCTTGAACCTCGACGGCAGTCGATGCCGACGAAATCATTGCCTTGATCCCGGCGGTCCGGTAGAAGTCCATAGTTGTCGATGTACACTGTTGTTAACGAGTTACTGAGTGGGTAGAAAGGGAGGAAAGGACGAACTTGTCCTGGTTCAGCCGCCTTTTTTAGCGTTCCAGGATACCTGTAGGAAGGATAATATTGAGGAGGAAGATGAAGTCAGAAATGAAGGTCATGGCGAAAAGAGAGCCGGGAAAGAGGCATTTTCTTCAGTGCAGGTCGGGTCTCAAGCCCGATGCCGCCTCAAGTCGCAAAGAGGGAGAGTAGAGTGGTGCAGCGGTGCGAGAGAAGATGAAACAGACGGTGTGCTGGGAGAAGATAGGTACAGCGGTAAAGCTTATTGAAGCTGGAAGAGCCTTCTTAGCTAGCTGAACCCCCAGTCACGAGAAGATACTAAGACAGGAGGACTGGCATTGCGGAGGTGACGCTCTGTCGTATAGATGCTCCAGGGTGACAACGAAGCGCAGCGACGCAGCAAGGAACATGACTAGGATGATGGCACCGGCATAGACGGCCCCCGCGTCGGCGTTAGAAGCGGGATATAGAGGGCATCTCAGTCCCAACATGGAATGAGGTGCTCATGCTGCCCATTCCATCCATACCAGCCGCCGCCGTGGCCGACGCAGTGACTGGTGCTATCACCTGCGATGCAACCAGGCTTGGGATTGCGGTCGTTGCGGTGACTTCCTGGGTGCCGTCTTTGTCCACTTAACTTCTCGGTTCTCCGGAACTTCACGACGATGGAGGAGCAACTTCTTCGTGTGCCGGGTGTTCCCGATTGTGGCCTAGAGGACCGCTACTAGTGACAAGAACCTTCGAAAAAGGGGTGAATGAGTGGAGTGTAGTGGGTTAACTGTATGATCGATGGAGGTTCGACAGCGAAAAAAAAGGAACGGATTGTGACCAGCGCTAGCTACGGACGAATCAAAGGGATGAGGAGAACGAAGTTGGCTGACTGCTAAAAGTACGGATATGGACCTCTTTTCACCACCCCTCAGTTCGGCAGTGGAGCCCTTGCGAGCGGGTAGGATCTGCAGATGACTTTCGTAAAACAAATGTAACAGGCTGTGTCGCCAGCCCCTTTATAGTCACCGCTTAGTGTGGCATGGTCCTCAAACACGCTAAAAAAGCAGCCAGACGATGTATTTCCAAGGATCCGAGTCAGGGATTGATACTTAGCTTACGTAGTCAACGCCGATTTGGCACCCCAGCTGGAGCAAATCGGACATTTATGCGGGGTTTAGTGTTGTATCCTGGCTGGACTTCACGGAGGAGGGGGTGGCGAATTGGTTAGCTCCAGACTAATAACATTCGGTACTTAGATTAGTAGAGTGCAGAATAAGGCAGAGCGTTAATGCTATAAAGCATACAAGCACGCCTCGTGTATCTCCTCTGCTGTGTGCAGACTCCTACTAGCCAATTAACCCACTATTATATTATTAACAGCCATAGCTTTATTTAGCTATAACCCTCACCCTAACCCTATAATCCTATTATAACCTTGAAGGTAAAGAATTTGCCACTTCTATAAAACTTTAGTAGTTAGCAAAGTATTCTCTAATGCTTTAGTATCACAGGGTAGGCATAATCTTCACAGCCAAAGGAAATGGCTCCCACTGGAACGGCGCCGGGGCATCGCAATAAGATTTTAGCTGCTCCCAGAGGAATTTAATTCGCTTGCCAACACATCAACTAATACCAATTATACTGACGGTATTGAGTTTGCGAAAGACGGGATGAGCTGATGGGTGCTGACTTGGATAGTGGTTATGCTTTGAATATTCCTTATCTGGTCAATGTTATAAAGACCAGGTTATCTTGTCTAATGATTCGTTGGCTAGGACTATGAATAGATTACCTGTGTCTTGAGTTGTCATTTTACGCGTGTGTTTCTTCTTTACTGAAAGCTTGTGCTGCCAAGATCTATCACATGCATATGTAACAGTTTTTCTGCCACTTGTTTTAGTAGTTGATTTTCGTGTAATAAATGCATAGCCTCGCGTGGCGGCCTATGAATTGATTGCGGTCACTAGCTCATCACGAGAGTTGTACTCGGCTTCGGGGGGTAAACAATCATCGGGAAATGAAGCAAGCTCCTGCGAAGGGGGAAGAATGGACGATGACTCAATTGAGGCACTCATTCTGCCCCGTTGAATGCCTCTTTGTATGGATCGAACCAGATCTTGATCCGAAGTAAACAAAAAAAAACTAACAGGTGATATGATGCAGTTGCTAGCTAATCGAATTATCTCTGGGACCTGCTAAAATCTTATCGCGGCGCCTAGGCGCCGTTCCAGTGGGAGCCCTTTATATTGGCTGAGGCTTGTTGGTAGGTTCAACCTACTTTGGAGGGTGTTAATGCAAACGCTCCAGGCTTAGATCTATTTCAACATCAAAGAGGAGAGCGACCGAAGAGAATAAGTCGTTCATTTCAGACCTAATTATAAATAAACAAGGATGATTTTAACTCGGCTCCGTGCATATTGGCCTGCTTTCTCTTAGTACCCTCTCGTTAGGAGGGCTTGTCTTACTAAGAATAGGATAAATAATAGGGATATAAACTATAAGACAGCAAGGGAACTCCCCCTATGAAATAGACGAGAATCAACAGAAGTAAGTGCCAGGGCGGTCTACGTTGCTCCGATGTGGATACGGATGACCAGAAGACGCTTGCCATGATGTCAAACGGTATGGATATCTTAGAATCTAGCCTATGCCGATCGTTGGCGCAGTTGCTGGAGACCCAGGGAGAGGACAAGCAGACTGAGACAGTAGAGCGGGAACACAATCCTTACAGGAACCTACCGCTTCCGTTCGAGGCCGAGCTGAAATTAGATGAGGGACCGATCGTGGTGGAGGTTATAAACCCGAAAAAGGAAGGGCGCTCATTTACGTTCTTAGCTGCAGTTCAGACTGTGGCGGCCCCATGACATAATCTTTCCAGTATCAAATTGATGGTGCGGTAGTGAAGAAAACGGTGCAGCTCATGGTACGCCAGGGGCTGTATATGGCATGGCAGCGAAGTTGAGCGGCGAAAGTCTCGGGCAATGATGCAGTTCTCTAAATATCTTTCTTCTCTATTATAATATGGGAGAGAACAAGAGGATGGCAGACTTTTACGCATCTAAAGATTGACTAGGTAACGCTTGTTGAGTCATATGAGCTACTTTGGCAATAGCCTGCTAGATTTTCTTAAGGATATATGGCGTGATGATGAGCGGACGTGAGTCTATGAGAAGAGGTGGGTGTAGTTTCTGCCACTCTAAATCAAGGAATAGAGAGAGACAGAGAAGTTTCATATATTCTAGTCACAATAAGTACCTCTAATTGCACTTGTTCTCTTTCATAGCCTGAATTATGCAAGAAAGGCATGCGTGGGACTATGTCGACTGAATGCGGGCGCCAATTGTGTGCCTCGTCTTTCTGCAGCTAATCCCTTCACGCTTACCACTGTCTGAAGACGCCCAAAGGGTCAGGTTGATGCAAAGGAGTTGCATGAGAAGGATACTGTCGTCTTCAGGCTCCTTGATTAGGACATCGAGCTCGGCCTTGGCATCGTCAAAAGCATGTTTCGCAAGATACCGGGCACGATCGCGTGAATTCAGAATCCTGTAGTAGAAAACAGAGAAATTGACAGCCACGCTCAGCCTCAATGGATGAGCGGCTGTTAACTCTGCCTGAGCAACATAGGCAGCAATCTAGGAAGAAAACAAAATCCTCAATTCAGTATACCTTGGCTGATTGAATTCTAAGCCAACAGATTTGGAACCCACCTTGTAGGCATTATACCCAGAGATAACTGCAGGATTGTGTTTCTTACCCGATACGAACTCGGTCAGATAACGGCTGTAATCACCCTTCCTTAAACATGAGGAGTCAGCCAAAGTATTCTCGAGAAGGGGAGACCACTAAAATAGGCATACATCTTGTAATATAATGCCATTGACTCGCCAGTACTGGCATTTGGGATCAGGCTCTGGTCTAGCAGATCCAAGACGTCCCGACAGATCTCTTCGATCTCATTCTCAATCTTGATGCGGTATCCGCGGATGGTAGCAAAATGCTTCTCACTACCCTTGTACTCATTTTTCTCGATCGAGAAGATAATGCGCCAGCTGGCACGACGGGTGTTGAAAACGTTATTAAAAGCAGTAGTGAGAAGGTTCCGCTCATCGACACTCAGCTCAACACCCTTCTTGACGACTTGCTTCAAAAGGGGCACCATGTCATCATAGCGCTGAGCCTGACCACAGAGGCGAGCGAGGAAAACCTGGCTACAGCCATAAACATCAGTGTTATGGGCCTGGAGAGACCGATCGAGCGGAGAGACAAACTTCTTACCCTGCATGATGGGTGTATGGTTTGGTATATTCCGGTGGTGCAGTGGGGACCTACAGAAGGAAAGTCGTAGTCCGAAGTAGAACAGTATCAGATATCCAAAGGAAAATGTGCCGCTAGAATGGGAGATAATGAGGTAATGACACAGCGGCAACGGTAATAGGGAGTAGTGCGTGGCGAGGGTAAACTAAGGAGGGTTTGTTTGTTAACTCCTAAGTGTGGTGTGTCGGTTTTGATTTTGGCAAGCAGAGAGGAGCGATATAAATGGTCGTTGGGCGTCTTAAACACACTATAGTCGGGCGAATGTAATGGGTTGCTCACCAAGCCGCTGACTGAAGGTTGACGTTGCGTCCTAACGGCACGCTCAGGCCCACACTTCGCTGAACCCGAGAGATATGCAGAACATTAATGTATCGGCATGAATGAATTGTATCAGGAAATGAGGATTTTATATAGATGTCTACATGCTTTAAAGACGATGCGCCGCATTCTCATATGCATTAAATGATAACTGCTTGGATCCAATCTGGCCGGATTAGCATCAATTAACCAACGGCATGCATATACAGCCTACACCAAAAGCGAAAAGGACAAATTGAAGTTAAATTAAAGATAGGTAAGTTGATAAAGAACGATTACCTTCAGTTTTGGGTGGCAGGCTCACTCATTCAATGAAGGCGATAATTCTTGTTCGCTTATACTCTATATCTTGCTTGGCAATGTCGATGGTCCTCTGAGTCCATCTCACCAAGCATTGGATCGGATGTGGATGGTATGGATGTGTTTGCCTGGGAATGCTAGACGCGCGCCAGCGGCGCAGTATCTACCAGGGGAAGAACACTGCAAGGGTGCACGGGCGAAAAGCGTAGATTTCTGATGAAATATCGGCAATGCTTGGGGCACAGACGCGTGCACAGACGCGTGCACGGACGCGCTTGGGCTAAACCAGTGAATTTTACACCAAATGATCCCTGCCTTGCTTATACTTATTTCCTCCCTCTAGCCTGATGATTTTTTTAATATAATAAGGAATTCGTTAGATCTATGCCTAGATCTGCTCCTGCGGCATCGCTAATCAAGCTGCCTCTTATCTGTAAATAGCTTTACTTTTGCTTTAAGGTATATCTTTTTTTATAATTTCCCTCTTTAAATACGGCTAGGCTGCTTTAATAATATTTAAATAAGGGCTATTTCTATATTAAAGAAGTTACTATATACCTCAATGCGGCTATCTTCCGCCTTCCTCCAGTCCAGATAAGCCATCATCTCTTCTTTAGCCCATTCCTTCGCATCCGTTGAAGTGGTAGAGAGCACTGTAATCTGGTTGCTTTCCAAACACCAATTATAACTTTTCTGGTCATACCGCAATGGGAGACCCATCGCCCTGCGGTATTCCTGGTTGGTTTTAATACTCCCACGGGGTTGCGCTTCATACCAAGCGCGTCTTGCAGCAACAAATGTTTGATATATGGCTTGTGCAGAATCATACCTTGGCAGTGAACATGGAGGGGGATTAGGCGAAGGTGCTGACACAAGAACAAGCGATGGAAGAGGCCGTGGCGCAACTTCTGCAGGCGGTTGGGACACTGGTGCTGCTGTGATGAAATTCGAATCTAGGATGCCTTTTGGGTTCTGGGTTGAATCTAACAATACGGTAGATCGTGAGGCTAGCTCCGAAGCAAAATCTGATTCCTCCGAGTACCTCAACGGGCACGTCTTTGACGTCATTGTATGGACGACCACATTGCATCTGCTGCATGTGCTTGGAGCCCGTGTAGCAGCTTTAACTGCTGTAGATCTTGCTTAGAGAGAAAGCATTATCTTATCGCTCGATAGCTCCCATTGAGACGGCCGTCTCCGGATACTGGGTTAAGTCCTGCGCCCACTTGCCCGTATTCCTGAAGTTTTCCCGGTCCCGAGATGTAATGTCCTTTCCTGGCTTGACGGACTATTTTATGCCTAGGTGGCCTGGCCCATAAAGCAGGCCGGACTCGTCTAGTTTCAACTTCCAGGTGATTGGCCGTGGCGCTTTGGCAGACTACTTTAAGGCTGACCGTCTAAATCCTAATGGCTTCAAATCTGACCGCTGGCGCCAACTGCCGTACTCGCTGGTATGGACTGGGGGTTGTTTTTTGGCCGTCTACGAAGTTTAGTAGCGATCTTTGGGTCTAGGATCCGGCGATGTACGTCTTCGCTCACAGGCTCTCATAGATGCCACCCGGATAGATATCCCACTTGGTTAGAGGCGTTGCAGTGATAAACTTCCTGTAAATCGTATGATGACAGGGGATGCCAAGCTCGATAGGGACGGTGCAATCGTCGTTGCACGACGCTATGGCATCCGGCCACGGATTTGCCGCGGTAGGAATGCCTTTCAATGCCTTGTGTTGCTCCCTGGTAATTAAAGAAAGTGCCTTCTGAGATACCATCCTAGGGAGCTCGCCCAGATACTCTGAGCCGCGCCCAACGTGTTCTCGCGCCGTTAACACCTCGTCCTGTGCACAAGCTTGACAAAACTTCCTTTCCTGGTCTTCCAGCATACCTTGGATTGCCTCGACAAGCCGATACAAATGACTCATGCCGTTCAGGAGATAGCTCTTGATATTATTATTGCTAGCCTCTGTACTAGAGGTCACTCGAATGCCGAAGTTGCAGTACTTCCGGATGAAGCAACGGCCCACTGCGCCCTCACAGGCATGTATGTACAATATAGATACGCAAGGATTACTCTCTGGTCACTGAATTGCGTATAGAGGCACTCCCAGGCCTTATTGTGATCCTCTTCTGTCTCGATAAACACCACCAGCCTCCACAGCATAAGCACTCCGTGGTAATCGTAGGTTATCAGCCGAGATAAGTTATCGTGGGTGATTGGCTCTTCTTGTCTTCCGGATGCCTGTACTGCCTGTCGATCACATTGGTTGAGGGCAGCGTCGGGCTCATCCAAACTGCTCTCTTCACCAGTACTGCTGTCCCTCGTGGTGTACACCCACTTCCGTTTGGACTGCAGTGTTACATTGGAGTTGATATGGTGGATGCAAAGCTGCAGCTGGGTGTCTTGAAACCCAAGCCCCAGTGCCTTCTTCATCTGGTCGTCAAAGTCGGTATTGACAACGTCGGGGGTCCGGATGCTATATCGGTCGAGGAGCGTGCGTACACCGTTTGTAAGGAACTGGAACCCTTTAAGCCTCTCGTTGTCGATTAACCCGAATGCGGCGTTGAAGACAGTACCCAAGCAGGTCTGTCCCGTAACTTGGAAGAGTGGCAGCTTGAAGCGGTTCGTGTTGTACGTGTTGTCGAAACTGACGACCTCGGGGAAACGCCTCCACATCCGGATACAGTAGGGGAACGTCCAAACCAACCCCGCCATGGTTCGTCTTAGCCCACTCGGCAACGTAAGGGATCTCCTTGTCGTCGAACAACTTGATCAATGCAGCCGTAGAGCGGTAGCCACCCAGATTCTCTCTGCTAATCCGAGCTCTGGCATTGTAGATATCTCTCTTGGTGTAAACCGAATCTGGAAAGTGATCTCGGACTATGCCACCAATGTCTCATGCACGAATGCCAACCCGTCGACTGGAAGACTAGATGGTCGCCTTCACAGGTCTAGTAAGTCGTCGATGAATTGGGTGAGCGGCGGCATCGGTACTGGGGTTATGATTGTGGTGGTGGTGTTCCGCATCTGGGAAGTGCCGCAGAGTCCACTGAAAACAGTTCTCTGGCAGGGCCTCGGCAATAATCTTCCATAGGCACCCGACTTTCGAGACTTTCGTTTCCGAAGGCCAGCACCCCTTCCCGACCGCGGAGCCCCGTACCGATCGCATTGGAGGACATATCGACTTCGCTGTCCAGGTCGAATCATACCATGAGCCTTGATAACACCGAAGCCACGGGTTTTCGCAAAACTGTGAACCCTAGCAAAAAGGGCATCAGCCGACGGAGCTAGATCACCTGGGATTGGTGGGTTTCGAATTGTTTTGACTGCGTTGGACCTCGAGCCGGCATCGGATAAGTCGTGCTGCTTGCACTGCTCCTTGCCCGGAGCAGCCACGTTCGGAAGCAATGAGACCTGGACAGGGCTTGTGACTGGCTGTGAAAAAGTCGCACTGCCTTCTTGCGTTTGACGTCTTTGTTCGGCCTAGGTAAGGTCCCTTTCGTGGGCTAACGCAAGTGCCGAGGCGAGGTGATGGTCTGTTTTTACCAGCTGGTGAGCCAATCCTAAGGCAGTCGGGAGGATCGTCATTCTCGTTACGGCTCGCGTTATACACTCGTCTCGACTCTGTTAACCGGTGTGCTGCCTTTCCCGTATGGTCATGGCCGGGTCTGGTGTCAGTGTATCAACGTGTTGGAACTGTTTGCTTGGTCTATACAGGGACGTGCAATAATCGTTCTGGAGGTATATGTCTGATTTTCGCCACTGAGCACCTGGAATATCTTTGCCGATTGAATCGTGAAGTCCAGGCAGGGAGGAAAGATGATGGTCGAGCCATTCTGCAGGCACGCCACCCACAACTTCCGTGCCATATTGACATATTTCTAGGCAGGCCGTTGAATTATCTGATAACTGGTTTGAGTTGCTCGATGAAGGCCGCGATTGTGTTCTACTAGAGGGATTAATCGGGCTAATTGGACTTCTGTGATGGCTTATATTGGTGGGATGAATATCTAGTGAAGGCATTATAGAGCTTCGAGGTATGTTGTATTCGTCGGGGGAAGGATAACAATAATGGTGATATGTGTTGACGCGATATGACGCGAATTGACGACGACTGGTCGAAGCGTCGCAGGGTAGGCATAATCTTCACGGCGTCAGGAAACAACTGCATTAGTAATCTAGCTGTATACTTGAATAACTCTGCGGAATAGAATACCCTGTACGAAGAATAACAATTAATTAACACATTTGCTGCTGCTGATCACATTCACTTGAACCCTTTAAGCGATACGAAGCTTTGGTGGCCAACTGGCAAAAAGTGTGGCAGAATTTGGTACGTACAGATGAGATTTGGGCCAATGAGAAGCGCTAAAAGTGCGACACCCCTATCAATTGCTTACTTTAAGTCACCCAGCTTGATTACTAAGGGCTGTTGTTCCTGAGGATCATTGAGACCATGCCCGGCCTGCGACACATAGGCAGCAGGCTGCTGCCTAATGCTAGTTGAGGTTATTCACATTCATCGTGATCCTTGCCTAATTTTGGCCTCATTCCAACTCTTAATAAGCTTCCTCTAACAGTAAGTGAAGGTCTCCGGGGCTTGACACCACGTCCATAATAGCTTCAAATGGATCCACTATACTTGAGGGGCTCCAGGGATTAATATGCAACTACGCCACTCTCTCCCCTCGTGGATTTAATGGACTGGTTTGAAAATCTAGACCAATCCTCAACTCCTCAATAAAGCACTTTTAACTATCCCAAATTGCGCCATAAGCTGGTACGCCTCTTGTTTCAAGACCATAAACCACCTTCTTCGTAGTTTTCTCATTCGCGATAATAATGACAGCTTCAGCCTTACAGCTCTTCGCCAAGTTATAGCCCATTTTGACGAGATCGGGACGGCCTTGCTTCTTTGTATCGTGGATGATTGCGTTCGGAACTCTTCTGGTAACAGTACGACAAAGGTCTTCCCCGAAAGCTTCTTTAGGCTGTTTTGTTGACCAGATGAGTTGCGCCCTACTAGATGGATTTTGAATGTAGCCTAACATAGGTCCAATACCGGAGCCAGTCGCGATGAGAACAACACGGTTGAACAGGGTTGCAATGCGCATGGCTCCACACGTCGGTACGCCTCGGATCCAAATGTGAGACGGACTATCCTGAATAGTTGATTTAGTCCAGTCACCAGCGTTCGAGACGATGAGCGAGTAGCCCTTCGGCCGGCCGTTGACGGCCTCGGGGGCAGGAATAGTGGCGAACGAGTGCCACTCCACGAGGGGATTGTATGATAGGCGAGCGAATGACCCATTGACGGGGACTGTATAGCCAAAGTGAAGTCTGATCGCGTGGTCCGACATCTTTTCCGCCTGGACGGGTACCTTACGGAGAAAGAACCACGAAGAAGCGACACTTACAGTCGCTACGGCCAGGAGCCAGAATGGTGGTGACCGGGCGCAGGCTTGTCCCAATGAAGTGCCGGTGGCTGCATTGTCCTTGCTTGCGATAATTACTTGAACCCAGAAGAATACGAGCATGGTCCAGCCGATAAATCGATGCGTTCTCTCAAACAAGTCGTGGTGGCGCTTACGCATCGACGGCCAGGCAAGACCGATCATGACGGCGAAAAAGGCCAAGAGAGCCCATGAGATAACATTGGATGTGATCGACTGTTTGCCCCAGTTTGAAAAACTTCCGCTCACCATGCAGACAATGTCGGCGATATTCGCCGCCAAGAGCCAAGCTCCTGCACTAACGGCTGCACCGGAATGGACACCGCCGAGATGATATATCTTTGCACAACGAGCCCGAATGAAGAGAGGCCAGGACTTTGGTGCGCTGCAAGCGATTGTGTATAGGACGTTGATGACGAAGTCCTGGCGGACGAGAACGGCCATGGCCAGGTTAATTGCCGTGATGTTGCTTAGCCACTCGCGGCTGATCCCGGTCATTACCAGAGCAATGGCAGCTGAGGTGTTGAACAAGCCAACAAGCGAGGAAAGCCGCCGGTAGATACTAAGTACCCGGTAACGGAGTCTGCGCGAATATTTGCGGTGCTTCTTGTCGGGGAGGGCGGCTTCGAGATCGATTTGTTCCTCGACCAGAGTGGCATCCAACGGGTCGGAGAACGAGCTGGTCTGTGGAGCACTTAAAGCTGAAGAGTCGGATCGCGAGTGACTGAGCCGAGCGGGTTTGGGTGGAAGGACTTGGCCGTAGGGCGCCTTTTTGTCTGTTGATATAGGCTCCTGGGGAGTGGATGCAACGTGCCGTAGTGCTTTTTCGTCCAACTTGCCATTCTCCGTCAGGGGCAATGCATCAAAAAAGTGATATCGTGTTGGTATGGCATAGTAAGACTGATGGGCTTCGAGGTGGCCTTGAATCACTGGAAGAGGACAATGGCGAGGCGTGACAAAGGCATGAATCTCACCATCAATGAGCAGCGCAGCAGCCCCTTGTACCGAAGGGCACGAGTTGAGAGCTGCAGTAACTCCATCTAGTTCAACATAAAAGCCCTGAATATGTGAGCCAAGAACGCTTCGATTGCAGTGAGCGAATCAAACCTTGACTTTGACTTGATCATTGACAGGCCCCAAGAAGGGGATAGTACCGCTAGGGTTCCACTGGCAGAGATCTCCAGTATCGTACATCTTGGTTCTATAGGAACATGTCAGAATCAATTTTGTGGCTACAAGAAAGTGCATCGGATGATTTACCCGTCTTGACTGTATGGATCGAACCTGAATCTCTCAGCTGTCTTTTCCGGTAGATCGATGTATCCACGAGATACCTCTGAGCTACCGGCCCACGAGACGCCAATCTCACCTACAGTCACAGGGACAAGGGATTCATCAAGTATGTATCTCTTATTCCAGGGTGTAGGTCTTTCTACAGACAGAGGTTAGCCAAGTTGATGCCTATGCATGATGTTAACAACGGTAGTCTCAGTTGGGCTGTAGCAGTTTATGCAAGGAACATAAGCAACGCAGATATCGGCAAGCATATCGACCATTTAGATACAAGAATCCAATAGAACGCAACAATAAGTACCTTTGCGAGCTAGGCTTACCCGCAATAGCTACAGCTTCGAGATTTGGGTAATCCTGGGGGTCGTGCTTGGCCAGGATGCTCGGGTGCAAATGAAAACGTTAATCTGCAGATGTGGGCTAGTTGTTATCAAGGCGTACTGCGATAATTTTTTCTTACCTGCGGCAAGGCTTTTGAACAGTTAGAGCTGCGCATTCCCATAGTGCCGCCGTTTGCTAGACAGCCAAGCGTTTCCCAGGCGGGCGTAGCCCATCTGAGTTAGCTATTATAGTGTGATGGAGCTAGCTGGCGTAAGACTCTTTTCATTACCGATCGGTTTGGACAATTTCGGAAGCTCTTAGGGGAAAGAAGAAATAACATCGGTCCATTGCCGTATTCGGTTTTAATGCAAACCCTGTCGAAGGCTGAACACGGCTTGTCTGACCAGCTGCAGCCACAACAGCCCTTTCGGTGGGCTAAGCAATGCGGAATTCGACACATGCTACTCCGTACACAGGGGCTTAATATCGGGCAGCTGACCACGTAGCTGATGCACATGGTCATCGACCATGCAGTGACACTTATGACAAACTAACAAATGCAGGCCAGCAATTCGAAACAAGGGGACTGTATAGGCAATTATTAGCTGCTCAGTCGTGAGGTGATATGCCTACCCCACACACCATATCAGCATCAAGTCGTCGTAGGGCAGGCCGGCCCGCTCTGCAGAGATCGCGGGGTCCTGGCTAGATAATTAGTATTATCGATTCGCCCTTACATAAAAACACCTCCTGCTGCATTAAAGGCGTTGGCTATAACCGAGCTTCCTCTCTCGCCTTATATAATAAATACAGATAAGTTGCTTCGTATACGGCGGCAGCCAAGGTGGATAAAACCGGCAAGATGCGGCCACATTGCCCAAATGTCATTAAACCATTGCTGACTGGAACGCAAACCTGCAACGCCAAAGCAGTCATGCACTTTGCCAGCCGTATTTCCACATTGCCTTTGCAGTGGCGTCTCATGAAACTGCCGTCCCTCCAAAGGAGGCCCGAGCGTTGATCAGTGACCAATTGACACTCTGTGACATGCACATCCGGCAGGAAACGTCATTCCGTCGTTGCAGCCTGATGGTTCTATGTTTTGTGGATAGCTATGCTGGATAATTCTCGCGATCAAGGCCCCACTAAGGACAGAAAAAAGGCATTTGGTTAGACGAACGCTCGGGCCTCCTTCGAATATTCGACAGTCGGGAACAAGTCCTGTAACCTTACAGCTAGCCACCTTAGCACGACGGTGGCAATATGCAACTTGGCGCACCCCTACTACCAGCAACTTATCTGTATTTATAATAAGGCGAGACAGGAAGCTCTATTATAACCTAATATCTATAATACAGCAGGAGGCTTTTTACTTTAAGGGCAAATCTATAATATAGTTCCTTTATTAGGTCTTAGCTATCTTTACAGAGGTAGCTAATCTGCTTAATAATAATTTAATACTAATATAATTTATAATATAAGGCATATTACCTTATAATTAAGGAAATATATAATAGCTAATAATTACCTATTTAGTAACCCTAGCCTCTTAGCGCTTAGTCTATAGCAAAGCCATGCCTTAAAATCTTTAGGAATAAGTTAAACAGTACTATAATATTTTTTATATTATATAAATAAAGTCTTTTATTTCCTTTAATATTTATATATATAAAAGAATATAATAATTTTATAAATAAATAATAACTTTAAGTATAAAATAGCTTAAACTTAAGGGTTAAATAAAAGTAATTTTTATATTACTTTAAGCTATAATATTAACTTATAAAACTTAGTAGTACCTATAG